CAACGTATTTTCCCATCCTGCTTTCAACTTCTAAATAATGGCTTCTCAAAAAAAAAAAAAATCATGGGATAGAACACGTGATTAGACATAATATTTAGAGTTTCCTTCGGTGCTTTATTGAGGCTATAGAAGACATGGGATTCCCAGAATAGTGAGAATAGTTACTTGCCAACAAGGTATATCCTGGCAAAGCTGCTTGCTTTGAGCCTATGTACGTGTGAAACAGCTACTTCCTCTTGAGTGAAAGAGATTACTTCAGATCCACATTTGGGAACTCTTTCATTTTTTTTTTTTTATACGCTATCGTTAAATTAAGTAAGGTGAAAGGATAGAAGACAGTGAAATTTTGCTTCTTGAGTTACTAATGAAACATAATGAACAAGTTATTAGGTTTGAATTTAAAAGTGAGATCATTTTAGTAACAGAATCAGTACACACAGTTTAGTTTAAAGGTGATGTGGAAAATTTACACTTTCGGGAGCTGGGAGTCCAAAATGAGTGTGAAATGTTACTGCGTATGCACTAAAGGTTTTGTAAATACAGATATAACACAGGAGGATCCTAAATAATTGTTGGGTGAATATTTGTTGATGGACTGCATTTCCTATTCTCTAACTGGGAAATTTGGTGTTACCCAAAATGGCCTTAGGGCTCACTCCTTATATTATGGACGTTAACTTGAATGAGCAAAGGTGTGGGAAGTTTACTTACGTGTGCTCTGTACACACCACAGTTCTCTTTTAATCCTCTCCAGGAATTTGCAGATACAGATACTATCCCATTTTGTAGACTGTGAAGCACAGGTTCAGAGAAATGAAGTGATGTGAATAAATCCGCGAGCACAGGAAGCGCCTGTGTACTGAAACAATCTGGATTATCCTCTGTGCAACATGCCCATTGCTTACGTGGACTTACTTACAGTGCTTCACGGAGATTTCTTGCCACCTGTCCTCCCCAAATAATTTTTGCGTAGGCTCACCATGGTATTTGAAATGATTCTGTTTGTGGTAAATTCCCTTGAGTTAAGGTACTTGCCCCCTTTGAAGGGTGGGACACATTGAGCCCGGAAGGTGGCTAATACATTGTGGGAGGAAGTTTCAGATTGGTTTCCAAAAAGACCAACAATGGAGAGCAGGGCAGGATTCAGGGCTAGACCTAAAGTGGGGGCTTAGTTCCAACATATAGGCTACAAGGAGGCTAAGTGTGGAGGGTAGCAAGAGTTCCCAGGCAATCAGAAAGTAGTCTGAAGGTCTTAGGGACTCACTCACCAGTGGGTGGAGAATGCTTGAAATGGAGGAGGTAGAAAAATAAAGATTCCCTGTTTTCAGTTTAGCCTACAGTCCTGCGCAACTATGTCGAATTGCTCTAGTAAAGCTTGTGTAAACTAGAGGGTTTTCTTATTCTAAGAGAGCTCTTCTTGGGGAGGAGTGGAGATCATGAGAAGTAAGCTTACATGTGCTCACAAAGATGGCTCTGAATGTGATACACATTTGTTCTGTCAATATGCAAGGTAGGTTTTCTTCTTCTCGTACATTTATGAGGACCTTCAATTTTCTGAGACAAGAATGTATTTATTCGTAAGGGATTTTGTAAAATTGCACACAACAAACTGCTCACAGAGGCAGGTGGTTAAATGAGCAATATATACAATCTAAAACACTTTGAAATCCAAAGAGAACAGAGCCTTGAGGCATAACTGTTTAAGTTAAATAATACTAACCACATAAACTGTGTTGTCAGAAGAGGTCATGTAAACAAACAGTGTAAGTGAGGTATGTGAAAGTGTTAGATTTTCAGAAATGATTCTTAGAAGTCGTGGTGGGAAACAAAAATAAAAAGCAATAGGTTCATGAGCACAGGACCACCTTTTCCTATGAGAGCCATACATCCCAGCTCTTTAAAGGACAGCCATCAGAAAATGATGGACCTTAAATAGGGGAGGGCGCTGCAGTGTGTCTTTTGGGCAGCCTTTGAGAGAAGGTGCTGTCATCACTAAGAGTGTCATCTCTGGGCCCCGGCATGGCTAATGAGGCCAGTCAGATCACCACAAATTTGCTTTCAGTCTCAGCATGCGTTTCTCGAGCTAATAAGTGGGGTTTGCTTGTTAATTTTCACTGCAGCTAATTTCTCTGGATTCTGTTTTTTCTATCTTGTCACAAAGCAGACTCTTCATAGTTCAAGTAAGACTCTCTTGCCCAGTGCCCTCTCACAGGCTGCTGTCAGTATTTCATGTTGACTTTGCAAGTTTACACCACGGGAGATGAAATTTGGTTCGGGCACCAAACACTGAACATCTGAACAACATGGCCTAACCAGCCACAGCGGTGTTGGATGGCAGTTCCCCCAGAGCATTTGTGCTATGTGTGTGTGGATTGGGACCGACTCATCCGTGATTTGAATTTTTTCGTATTTTGTTCCGCCAGGAGTTTCTTATTGAAACAGCCTTCACAGACATGTGCCATCTATTTTAGGAGTATTAGCCCTTAGCCATCTCCAGGAAAGAAGAACAAGCATCCTACAACCAACCAACCAACCAACCAAGCAGAAGTCTGTCTTTCTGTTTCATGCTGTAGTCTCCAAACATCTAGTTTTAATTATGATGGATTTTCTTGCTTGTGATTCCTTTATTTTGTGAAGATAGTGTGGCAAGAGATACAGGGGGGTAGATGTGTACACATGAGAATGCTAGATTTTTACTTTCATACTTTATAGTTTTATATAAATCTGCTTACCATATAAGTGATATATTGGACACATGTGGGCTAGCATGATTTTTTAATTATCTCTGATATTTGCTTATGTGGCAACATTCTAAAAATGTTAATTTTGTAATTAATTTCCAGCACATTGTTTGGAAACAGTAAATAGTTTTTGTTATAAATCACCCGAGAACTTAGATCACTAAACTGCATGGATGTGTCTTCCCAGTTGGTTTTGGAAAAGTTATTTATCTTTGATTCCTATTTCCTTTCTCCTCAGTTCTCAGTGTGGTTTATATCCAAGAATCCACAGAAATTGCTGTGATAAAATCAAATGGTATTTTTTTCTGCTATCATCCATATTAGCCTTGAACCATATCTTCTGTCACTTTTTTTCACAGCTTCTCCTCATTTCTTTCAAACTTCCTTTTGTCTGCTGTTATGTGGCTTGGTATATGGCCTTCGGTTTGAGTTTCATCATTTCTCATGTGAGCACATTTCTCCACTCCTTCTGCCATCCCTACAATATAAAATATGCCACCACCCATCTTGCTTCTCAGACTCTGGCTGTGCATCTCCTAGGGTCTCAAGTAGCATTTCCCAGGATATCCTTTGTTACATATTAAGTCTTAAGGTGCATGCTTGGGGGTGGGGGAGTCCTCGTTTCATGAAGTGTTACGTTTGAGAAACAATACACATAATAGTCCTATTACATAATAGGTGCTCAATAAACATTTTATTGAATAAACAAAAGAATGAATAAGTGAACATACTTATGGTATACACTAGCATGTACTTTGGGAAGTTCTTGAGTGAGTAAGTGTTTAGGTCTGTTTAACCCAGCATTTACCAAAGGTGTTTTCTCACAAAACCTTCTCTATCTAGTATTGCATAAAGCGCACGTTGTGAAAACTCCAGCCTAAATGATACAATGCGGTGGCCACACCACTCTCCCTCCCTCAAACCCAAGCTAATGTCCAGAGAACCTGAGCTTTGTCAGCTCCTTCTTGCCTACCCCACGGGCAGGCCACTTTCTCTTTTTTTATTTTTATTTTTGAGAGACAGAGACAGAGACAGAGCACCAGCAGGGGAGGGGCAGAGAGAGAGGGAGACACAGAATCTGAAACAGACTCCAGGCTCTGAGCTGTCAGCACAGAGCCCGACGCAGGGCTCAAACTCACAAACTGTGAGATCATGACCTGGGCTGAAGTCGGACACCTAACCAACTGAGCCACCCAGGCGCCTCCAGGCCACTTTCTCTGTTTCGGTTGCTGATGCGCTCCTCCCTCTGCCTTGGCTCAAACCTGCAATACTCTTTAACCAGTTATGCTGCCTTTCTCTTTAATCATCCACTAATTTGCACCATTTTTCAAGTGCTGTCTTCCAAATCTGTTTTGAGAAGCAAGACCGCTGATAATCTCTGTCTTGTGGATTCTTATCTGTGGGTAGTTATGAGATTCTATAGGTTGAACTCACTATATTAAGTAGTTTTTATTGAAATCTCTCAAAAGGATATTTGTAGGCAGTGTATTCCATCATGACGCACATGTCAGCCATGATATTCTCTTCCACAGCCCATGAATCAGTATTCATGTCCCAAGTCTACTTGACTTGCTTTATTTTATCACCTTCCTTCTGACTACCTCCATTAGTCAACTAAACATACTCTAGCCTCTCAACTTTAGCAGAAATAAGCTAAGATACCTAGAGCATTTCCTGTATTTGCCATCAGTCTTAACATCATTTAAAGCCACTCTCAAACCTAGTGTTTCCAGATTGATCTGAATAAGGCCATTCCTATAGGGCCAGCTCTAAGTCTGTGTGTGTGGACGTGGGGTGGTGGGAAGCAATCCAATTTAGGTCTAGAAAGTACATGCACCAGCTGTGTCTTTGAACATTGCCCAACGTAGTACCGGGGTTTTGTGGCAGTGCCTCTGGAACCACGTTGGCGGACAGAGGTGGTGAGGAAGGAATGGTGGCTGTGAGGACAGGAGGCGGTAGGGAGGCTCTGCTTCCGTTTCACAGATGAGCTGTTGGTGGGGAAAAATGGTTGGGGCAGGGCCCCATGGCTAATAGTAGACTGGAAATGATCACAGTGATCAGAATATTCCTAAAAGTAAAAACAGTCTCTCTGAGCTGAGAGACTCAGAAACGGGGAAAGACATTCTACGAGTACGATGGGCAGTAGCATTTCCTTAAGAAAAATTGGGCAATTATTAAAAGGCAGATCTGGCAGAAGCTCTAAAACGCAGCTCACTGGTTTTCTTCTGACTCTCTTCTCTCTTTCACTCCTTATCTCAGGACCTTTTCTCTTCTCATTAACACCTCCACCAGAATTGGAGCTGGGGAGGAGAAAGGAAATGTTCAGACATGTGCCTATTTGCATACTCACTCTCTTGAGTTAATGCCAGGACGGCAGCACATTCTGTCCAGTTCAATAGAAAAGCCAGTTTCACCCCATCGGTAAGGTATTATTTTCTTTTTTAGCATAGAACAGTTTATTGCCAAGCTTCTCTTAACTGTACATTACAAATAGCGTCTGATTAAGAATGTTCTGGATGGGTTAATTAGTGTGGTGACTATTATTAAGCAAACTGCTTGTTAGTATTATGCCTATTTGATCTTGGTATTGATGTGAAGTAATTGACCATAGAGCTACATTTAGAAAAGCTGGAATAAAGTTTTTTGATTTCTATTATGGCAATAAATTGTTTATATTAAACATGTCTATGAAAATATGAGTTTCAGGGCACAGAGAATCAGAGTAGACTCTGTGGAATGGTAGATGCGGATTGTTTTGTTGTGTTTTGTTTTGTTTTTTAGTAATATTAATACATTTGTCCAGCTTGCTTCACGATCAGCTCTGTTAGAGCAAAGTAGTAAAAATTTATTTCAGCATGCTTCTGCAGAGTGTATGAAAAAGTAAGATGATTTTAACTTCCCTCACCTAAAGGACATATTTCCTTTTTACTTTAGCTAACTGCCTAACTACTTCTCTGAGTAACAATCACCATATATAAACAGACTATCATAGAAAAATATGGGAAGATATTCTAAGCAAGGAAAGCATAGCATGGAACCACCTTCTTTCATATACAGGATTATTATCTATATTATTTATTGGTATTTTGTCCAGTCCTGTTATTAAGTTTCCCTCACTATTGCATTTCCATAGGGAATTTATTCCATGAGCTAATAAATTATACCATCAGGGAGGGTTTTTTTGAAATTCAGCTTAAATTTTCCCATTCTTAATTTCATCTCATTACTCCTAGTTATACCCCCTTGTACCCGGCTAAATAATTATTCTCTTTCCTTGGAGACTCCTATTATGTACCCCTCTACTTGTCACTTAACTAGGCTATTCATAGTTAGCTCCTTTAATCTGTCCTCATAAATCACTTCTTCCATTGCCTTAATCATTATTATTGCTCTTCTAAGAACTCTCTAATTTTCAAACATATACAGTTACAGGTGCCCCAGATGAAACCAGCTTTTGCACAGCCCCCTGTCCCCACAGACGCGGTGCCTTCCTTCTCTGTACACCACAGTCCATCACAAAGTGGCACCAGTTTGCTGGGCAAATCAACACAGGCTCATCTTGTCAAACTGCAGACACTCTCAACAGTGTTTTCTGTGTGTCCAACTTGCCTTCAGGATTTTCTTTCTCAACTTCATAACATTAGTAAGCTGAGTTTCTGCTTACGGTCTGTATTTATGTTCTGTATCTTTCCATGTCCCCACCTATCAAGTCAGTCATCCACAACCTGTGTCAGCATGGGATTCTGTTCATTCTTGCGAACATTTGGGAAGTGGGCCTACCGCCCTGCCCACAGCTAAATTCCTTGTCCCTTACCCATTCCTGTTGTTTACTACTCTTTAGCCAATCTCCCATCCCTTTTAATTGGCAATTGTATTCACATGCTGGCCAATATAAATGGATTTTAAGAGTAAGTTGGGTCATGATAAAGTTTTCTAAGGTAAAGTTATGTTGTTTCAATGCCTGCTGATGCATATAGATAGATATAGATATAGATATAGATATAGATATAGATATAGATATAGA